CTGTAATCCCAACTACTTGGGAGGCTGAAGCACTAGAATCGCTTGAACCTGGAAGATGGAGGTTGTAGTGAGCTGAGATCTTGCCACCACATGCCAGCTTGGATGACAGAGTGAGACTCCGTCTCAAAAAACCGCCCAAAATTAGCTGGGCATGGTGACCACCCTTGTAGTCCCAGCTATTCAGGGGGCTGAGGTGGGAGTATTGCTTCAGCTCTTAAGATCAAGACTGTAGTGAGCTATGACCACACCATTGCACTCTAGCCTGGGTGACAGAGGGAGACCTTGTCTCTGAAAAACAAAAGAAAGCAAAAAAACCCTAAAATTATTCTCATGTGATTCAACCATTCGACAGACATTTTAGTTGGGTACCTAGCATTATGCCCGAAACTGTTCTTGATCACAAACATTCAAAGATAAATAGACTTGGTGAGGGCACAAGGAGTAACTGGTACCCGCGTAGACTTGGCGAGGGCACAGGGAGTAACTGGTACCGGCACAGACTTGGTGAGGGTGCAGGGAGTGACCAGTACCCACACAGACTCAGGGAGGGCACAGGGAGTAACAGGTACCTGCACAGACTCAGGGAGGGCACAGGGAGTAACTAGCACCCACATACCATGCCGTTCCAGCTGCTAGGACCACTGCAGCGTGCACAATGTGCTCAGGATGAGGCCGGGGAGGGGACCGGAAAGGATCGGCTGTGCTCATGAAAGTGACAAACTGTCATTTACTTTTGTGACGACTAATTTTGTCTGACAACATGGCTAGGCCACAGTCCCCAGAAATGTGGCCAAATATGTCCGGATGTTACTAGGGAGATACTTGGTTTAGAAGAGATAAACTTTTCAACCAGTTGACTTTGCTTTTTTTTTTCTTTACTTTTTTTTTTTTTTGAGATGGTGTCTCACTCTGTTGTCCAAGCTGGAGTGCGGGGACGCGATCTCGGCCCACTGCAACCTCCATATCCCGGCTTTAAGTGATTCTTCTGCCTCAGCCTCTGGAGTAGCTGGGATTATAGGCATGCACCACCACACCCAGTTAATTTTTTGTATTTTTAGTAGAGATGGGGTTTCACCACATTGGCTAGGCTGGTCTCAAACTCTTGACCTCACGTGATCTGCCTGCCTTGGCCTCCCAAAGTGCTGGTATTACAGGCATGAGCCACAGTGCCCAGCCCAATCAGTTGACTTTGAGTGAAGCAGATCACTCTCCACAGTGAGGGAGGGCCTCATCTCATCAGTTGAGATGAGGCCTCCTGGAAGCCCAGTGTACCTGCCAGCCTACCTTGCAATTTTGGACTTGCCAGCCTTCCCAATTGTGTGAGCCAATTCCTTAAAATCAATCTCTCTCTCCAAATACATATATATATATATATATCTCCTATTGGCTCTGTTTCTTTAGAGAATCCTAATACACTCATTGTAACAACAGTGGGTACTATTATAATTGCCATTTCACAGTGGAAGAAACTAGACCAGAAAGGTTAAGGAACTTGGCCAGGGCCACAGAGCCAGTGGGTGGCAGAGCTGGCATTCCACACCACTGTGTCCCCCAGATTCCCTGCTCTCACCCACACTCTCCACTGCTTCTCAGTGCATTGACCTGGGTGTGCTTGAGCGCCCCCTGGGAGGGCTAATGGGGACACGCAGAATATACAAGGGGGTGTATATTCATCGCTCTTACAAATGCAAATAGAGGTAAGTAATTTGCCCAACGTGGGACTCACAGTTTTATAAGCAGCAGAACCCAGGTTTTCAGGAAACAAAACACAAGCTCTATCCATTCTCTTGTCCACTTTCTCTGTGTTTTTCTTTATCCATTTTCTTCCTCCCTTTAGAATTCTGACATTCTTCAGAGACTCTTAGTCACACATTCCTCAGCCTACTCCCTCCTGGAGGCCCAGTGTACCTCAGGTCCCCACCATGATCTTGATGCCCCCCAAATTATCAGGCTCGCAGAGAACACACACCATCAATAAAGGGCCCATCTCATTTGGTGCAGGATATGTGAACAGACAGCATCACGATCCACTTAACAATGTCAAGTTTACTATGGCTGGTAAAATCAATGCATTTCACACAAATAGTTACAGAGTCTCTATTAATTATTTGGAAAGTAAAAATAAGACCGAACAAAAATCCCCTCCAAAAGCCCAAAAGACGTTTCTTTTCAAATATAATTCCTAGAACTCTGTTTTAACTGATTCAAGGAATTAGGTATCTTTGAAAATACACAGACATCAAAAATCTCCCAATTATCTTCATGCATGGTCTAACAGTTTTCAATTCTGAACTGGGTTACTTGAAAACTGATATTTTCTTTTTTTGAGACAGAGTCTTGCTCTGTCACCCAGGCTGGAGTGCAGTGATGCGATCTCGGCTCACTGCAACCTCTGCCTCCCAGGTTCAAGGGATCCTCTACCTCAGCCTCCAAAGTAGCTGGGACTATGGGCACGCACCACCACACCTGCCTAATTTTTTTGTATTTTTAGTAAAGATGGGGTCTCACCATGTTGGCCAGGCTGGTCTCAAACTCCTGACCTCAAGTGATCTGCCTGCCTCACCTCCCAAAGTCCTGGGATTACAGGTGTGAGCCACCGTGCCCGGCAGAAAATTGATATTTTCAAGCTTGACTTTCAGGGCACTAGGAAGCAAAGGGGGATAAGAGCCCCCATGCTGCCAAGACCCTCAGCCCACGCACATGCTCCTGGGCTGGTATCATGAGTGGAAACCAATACAACTCTCTGGAGGGAAATCAGGAAATACGTTTTAAGTTTTAGAATTTTGTACATTTTGTAACTCAGCAATTCTTCTAAAAAGTCATCCTAAGGAAATAATCAAAGCTGTGCATGAAGATTTAGCTACAAAGATATTTTCTACAACACTGGTTAGAATAACAACTTTTTTTTCTTTTTTTCTTTTAGATGGAGTTTTGGTCTTGTTGCCCAGGCTGGAGTGCAATGGCACGATCTCGGCTCACCGCAACCTCTGCCTCCCGGGTTCAAGCGATTTTCCTGCCTCAGCCTCCCAAGTAGCTGAGACTACAGGTGTGAGCCACCATGCCTGGCTAATTTTTGTATTTTTAGTAGAGATGGGGTTTCACTATCTTGGCCAGGCTGGTCTCGAACTCCTGACCTCATGATCCACCCGCGTTGGCCTCCCGAAGTGCTGGGATTACAGGCGTGAGCCACCACGCCCGGCCAATAACATTTTTTGTAATGGCAGGGGATTGATGAACCAAAGTAAAGTATGATATATCCACAGGATGGAATACTACAGACTTATGAAAATTGATATGGCAGAATAATGATGCTATGGAAAGATGTTCATGCTGTACAACTGTATTTTTATGTATATATTATTGAGTGAGTGAGTGAGTGAGTGAGTGGTCTCACTCTGTTGCCAAGGAGGTGCAGCGGCCTGATCATAGCATCACGACTCACTGTGACTTTGAATTCCTGGGCTCAGGCAATCCTCCTGCCTCAGCCTCCCAAAGTGTTGGAATTTCAGGTGGGAGCCACTGCACCCAAACAGTACCCAGCACACAATCTCATTTCTGCTAAATATGCTTTGTAGAAGGCAACCTCTCAGACAGCCAGCCCCAAGTGACCCCTACCTCCTGGTATTCACCCGCCTGTATAGTCTCCTCTCAGTGCTGGTCTATACCAGTGTGGGTCTGTGTGACCAACAGCCTATGGAAAGAAATGATGATATGCTGCTTTTGAGATTAGGTTACAAAAGACTATGACCTCATTCTGGGCACTTGGCCTTTTAAATTACTATATCTGTATGTATGTATGTATGTATTATGTATTTATGTACATATGTATTTATTTATTTTTGAGACAGAGTCTTGTTCTGTAACTCAGGCTGGAGTGAAGTGGTGCGATCTTGGCTCACTGCAGCCTCCGCCTCCTGGGTTCAATTGATTCTTGTGCCTCAGCCTCCTGAGAAGCTGGGATTACAGATATCCGCTGCCACACCTGGCTCCGCAGCATTTTGTATTTTTAGTAGAGATGGGGTTTTGCCATGTTGGCCAGGCTGGTCTTAGACTCCTGGCCTCAAGTGATCCACCCGCCTCAGTCTCCCAAAGTGCTAGGATTACAGGTGTGAGCCACCACACCCGGCCTACTATATCATTTTTATTTACTCTTGGATCATTTGCTCAGGGGAAAGCAAACTGCCGTGTAGTAAGCAGCTCTATGGAGGGGCTCGCGTGTTAAGGAGGTAAGGCCTCTGGTCAACAGCCAGCAAGGAAGTGAGGCCTGCCTTCAGCCGTGTGAGTCACACTCACTAGTCCCAGCTGAACCTTGCTGGAGATGACCACAGGCTTAAGTCACAGCTTGATAGCCGCCTTGTAAGAGACTCTTAGCCCTACCACCCAGCTCAGCAGTACCTGGATTCCTGACCCCCAGAAACTCTGAGGTACTGGAGCTCACTGTTGTTTTAAGTGGCTAACTTTTAGGGTGGTGTGTGACACAGCAGTTGATAACTAATACCTACGTGCACTGTGAAAGCCCTAGAAGGACAGAATTCAAGGTATATTAGTGGTTTTCTCTAGGTGGTAAGACTTATGGGTACTTTTTATTTTCTTTGTTTTGTACAGTTTTGGCAAATGTTTGTCCTTTTTCAGAAACCAGGAAAAAAAAAAAAAAAACCACACATGACCAAGAGCAACCATATGACCTTCTGATGAATAAAAGGATGAAGATTAGGAGAGCCAGTTTTAGCTCTAATAACGTTTACAGATTCTTTACGAGTAAATTAGGTTAAATGTGCAAAACAAAAACAAATAAGAAAACAAACAAAAAATGAGTTCCCGAGAGAGGGCCTGAACGGCACGGGAAGGGTGCTGTCCCTACGAGAAACCACACAATGCAATGTGAGCAGCAGCATTCACTGACTTCAAGGAAAGGAGACTTCCATGGGCTTCTTAGAAGGAAAACCAAACAGTAACGAAGCCATCTGGTAGCCGATCGTCGGCACAGAACTCTTGCTTACCCAGCTTCTGGTCAAACCGCCACGCCGCGACATAGGCATTGTGCCTCAGGCTGCTCTGCGTGGCCAGGGGCACAGTGACATAGATGGGACCATCCACCAGCACCGGCGTTCCATTACTGCTCAGCAAGTGGACACTGACGGCTGTGACTGGGGTCAGGTCATGCCTGGTGCTGTTTCCTAGAAGGAAGAGGCATTTTCCATCATTTGCATGCAAAGTACCCACGTGGGCTGTGGAAACCTTTGTAAAAAAAATAGTCGCAGCTACCATTTACCGAGTACAGCACCACCTATGTGCCAGGGACCGCATTAAGCACTTTACATACATAATCCTCACCACAACCCAGTTAGGCAGGTAAAATCATCACTTTACACATAAAGAAACAGGCTCAGACAGAGTAGTAATGGTAGGTGGCCTAAGAGCATACACTCAGTAGGGGCTGAGCTGGAATCTAGGCTCAGGTTTGGTTTTTTTGTTTTGTTTTTTGAGATGAAGTCTTGTTCTTTTGCCCAGGCTGGAGTGTAATGGCACAATCTCAACTCACTGTAACCTCCACCTCCTGTTCAAGTGATCCTCCTGCCTCAGCCTCCCAAGTAGCTGGGATTACAGGCATCTGCCACCCTGACGGATAATTTTTGTATTTTTAGTAAAGATGGGGTTTTGCCATATTGACCAGGCTGGTCTTGAACTCCTGACCTCAGGTGATCCGCCCACCTTGGCAATCACAGGCCTGTGCTGGGATTACAGACTTGACCCACTGTGCCTGGCCAGGTTTGCTATTTTTCATTACTGTGTTTTGTTTTCAAAAATGATCTCAAAAGACAAGGTTTTTTCTATAACGTGAGACAAAGGTGTAGGTGGAAATCGCTGGAAGTAACTTTTACATAAAGTGAGCCCCAGGCACATGTTAATTACTTGGCAGATAACCTCAATAAAACCAAATGTTTTAGAGTAGAGGCTGCTTTTTATTAATATAGCAAATTTCTTCAAAGATTGCTTCAAAAATACTAACTTCTGCTAAAAAGTATGATACTGAGGACTGGACTTGAAATATTTATGAGTTATTTTAGTTGCCATTGTTATTTTGGTCTGTTTAAAAGGACCTCAATACACCAATTATTCTCCATTAAAGGTCTTTGGTCCAGGCCAAAGCATTAATGACTGCCTACAGATAAATGAGAGAATGCTTATGAGACCGATATATTTATGCACTCAAGCAATCCATTTTACATTTTCCTCTAGTGAAATACAATATCCCACAAAATATGTTCTGTCATAATTTTACATCTTTCTTTGAGCAGAATAACAAAAACACAGTGATAAAAAACTTAAGCTGCATTAGAATACAATCTATAGGATAATTTTTATTCAGTTACTTATATACTTACCTATCTACCAACCTGAGCTAATGTAAACCTCCAATCTGGTCTACATTTAAACATTTAAAGCAAACCTAGTGAATTTAAGAGTCTCAGCAACAAATTACAGCTAAATCCTTCATACAGCAATTTCTACACAGCTAATGCCACTCTACCTTTTATCATTCATACCCATCTCTGTTTTTTAATGAAGGCAAAGGTGTGGGAATGGAGATTTCATGGAAAGATCCAAGTTGGAATCTGAGATCCAAGTTTTGAAATCTTTTAGTCTGGTTATGTCATTTTACGGTAAAAAAACAAGCAACAAAACTCAGAATTTACCATGTTTGTGGTCCAAAGATTTTGTGTCTTGAAACATAAATGTGCCAGCGGCTCAAAGTTGATACAGAAGCAAAGCCAGGTCTACAATTTACCGCTCTAGGTTCTGTTAGACCCTCTCGAGAAGATGGAATTTACAACTACAGAAATGCTGGCCAGGCGCGGTGGCGCATGCCTGTAATCCTGGCACTTTGGCAGGCCGAGGCGGGTTGCTTGAGCCCAGGAGTTCAAGAACAGCTTGGGCAACATAGTGAAACCCCATTTCTACAAAAAAATACAAAAAATTAGCTGGGCATGGTGGTGCATGCCTACAGTTCCAGCTACTGAGGAGGCTGAAGTGCGAGGATCACTTGAGCCTGGGAAGTGAAGGCTGCAGTGAGCTATGATCACACCACTGCAATCCAGCCTGGGTGACACAGTGAGACCCTGTCTCAAAACAAAACCAAACCACACACACAAAAAAAGAAACTACAGAGACATTAAATAGCTTACTAGACAGTATAAACACCTGAGAGAAAATGTTTTCCATCAGGGAGTACTGTTTTCTTTCATCAAACTCTAGGCAGGATGTCCCAGTAGGCAGGTAGCAGGTAGGTAGAGGAGAAAAGCCCTAGAAATGGTGTCACCCTTCTCCTCCCTCATCACCTTTCAACTCTCCCTTCCTGCACATTCCCAGTCCAGGAAGAAGGAGTCCCAGTACCAGATCTGCCACTCACTGCCTATGTCACCTCCAAAAGTGACTTCGTTCCTCTGGGGTCTGTTTTTCTTACCTTCAGAACTAAGGAGGGTAGACTAGATGCCTTCCTGCATCTATGGAAGTAAGTATACTCAGCCTGAAACATTCAGAAGTAATAGAGCACTGCAGAAACGAGCAAATTAATGGACAGCAATGTGCATTAGGTTCATGGAATTTCATGTCCCTTTAATGTCCTCTAGCTGTCTTAAGACATTGTGGGGAATTAGATCTGCTTTCTTGAGGCCTCTTTCCTTCCTCAGGGCTCCATTAAATGCCTGCTTTTCTATGCTTTCCGAATGACTCTCCCTCTATGTACCCATGTTGTTTATTCTGCAACTTTTTTTTTTTTTTGAGACAGAGTCTCACTCTGTCACCCAGGGTGGAGTGTGATGGTGCAATCTTGGCTCATTGCAGCCTCCGCCTTTTCAGTTCAAGCAATTTTCCTGCTTCAGCCTCCTGAGTAGCTGGGAGTATAGGCACACGCCACTATGCCTGGCTAATTTTTTTTTTTCTTTTTTTGTATTTTTAGTAGAGATGAGGTTGGTCAGGCTGGTCTTGAACTCCTGGCCTCAAGTGATCCACCCACCTCGGCCTCCCAAAATGCTGGGATTACAGGCGTGAGCCATCGCGCCCGGCTGATTCTGCAACAATTCACATTTTGAAGGGCTGAACTATTTTCCATCTCTTTGTTACGAAACTCCAATTTTACACCGAATACTGAGTTCTATACAGAAAGTGGCTTTCCTTCCTGTTCCACCTGGATGTTGCCTGGCTCCCTTTAAGTCTGCATAAAGACAAGCAGGTGGCAGGCAAATGCAGCGGAATCGTGTTGCGGGGCGGAATACCACTGGCCCAGGTGAGGAGAGGAGCTGTATCACCTTGGGTCATCCACCTGGTCACTTGCCACGTGACAGGTTCTGTTCAGCTGACATTTAAGGTTCTGTTAGGCTCTGTATTCTACCAACTTTGTGGAATTGCAGGAAAAGTCTGCACTTGTCATTTTATTGACTCCTCTCTGTCTTCCTGGAGTTATTAGTGAAAGTAATTTTTGTAAAACCCCTTGGGAACACCACAGAACATTCTGTGCTTTCTCAGCAGCCGGGGGAAGAGTGCGATGCTCTCTGGTGAGAGGAGGGGGCCCCCAGCAGCTAGAAAGACAAGATGCTTCTCCACTTACAACTCTCGATCCACCCTCTAAACTAAACACCACAGCCTTCATGGTACCCCCAGAAAACAGCCTTTCGGAGCCTTTTCCAGTCTCTTCCGCAGCCTGTTTCTATCCGCCTTCACTGAACTCTGGTTATGACTCTAGTCATTTCCTGGATCTTCAGGAGATGAACTTGTGTCATCTCCCAAAGACACATCTGGTCCAGGCGTGCTCTCTTTAGGCTGTGAGCTCTTAGACGCCTTTAGTAAAACAGGAGGTAAATGACTGTGGGCAAAAGACAAGCTGTGGGCAAACTGACCCCGGGGGCTGGCATGGAGCCGGTGAGTTACTGAGGTGCCTGTGCTCAAGGGAGCCCAGGTTCCAAGTCCCCGAGGGTGCCTGTGAATTCACTATGGGTGGATGCCTTCGCTGCTAGGTCTCTGTGAAAGCCTAGTCATTTCTAGGTCAAGTCATTCATTCTTTCCATGGAAGAGAAGTTTCATGTCACCTTGCAAAGCCCTCTCTCTTCCCTTTGAAATCACAGAATGATTTTAAAATAAAACAAACTCCTCTAAAATCAATAGTTCTGTCTTTGTGTTCTTTTTCCTCCATTTTCTCAGACTGCCTAATTTATTCAAGAGCTACTGGAAGTGGGACACAGAAAAAAATTAATGAGTCCCGAGCACGGAGGCTGTCCCTCCAAGTTAGCGTTTTGTGGATCCTGCACCATTTTGTCCAGGAGGCTGGTAGCTGGTTATGATATTTTAAACCTTTGTTTTTTTTTGTTTGTTTGTTTTTGAGACAGAGTCTAGATCTGTTGCCCAGGCTGGAGTGCAGTGGCACGATCTCAGCTCACTGCAACCTCCACCTCCCAGGTTCAAGCGATTCTCCTGCTTCAGCTTCCCGAGTAGCTGGGACTACAGGCACCTGCCACCACGCCCAGCTAATTTTTATATTTTTAGCAGACGCAGCATTTCATCATGTTGGCCAGGCTGGTCTCAAACTCCTGACCTCAAATGATCCATCCACCTCGGCCTCCCAAAGTGCTGGGATTACAGGCATGAGCCACCGCACCTAGCCTTAAACCACTTCTTCATGCTCCCCAAAACAAGACTTTTCTCCCAGACTGGCACATTTCAAGTAATAGTCAACATTTTTTTCCTAATAATGTTTACTTAATATGACAGCTATGCCATCTTTCTGATGACAAAGTACCGACATATTTGCTGACATGTTAATCACATCCTCATCAGCACACAAAAATTAAAGGAGAAACATTCTGGAAAACAGAGGGAAGAAAAATGAGTAACAAATCACCAGGTTGCCTTTATGTCTAACCAGAAACTTATTAACATGCTATAAAATGGATCAAATATTTCAGGTTTAAAAGCTTTTTCAGAATAATCAGTTTATGTAAAGTACTGGAAAATTAAGTGAAATTCAATCCAAGTATCCCTGGGAAATGCAGTAAGTTACTCACCTAGCAGAATGGAACTCAGAACAGCCTTTGATTTAAAATTTTAATGCTGTGATTAGTCGAAAGTGTGGTGGAAAGGAAAGCAGGGTAGACAAGAAAATAATTCAGGACTCCAGAATCCTGACACCTCTTCCACCAGGAGGACTGGGGACCACTCCAGTGCAAAGGGGTCCAGAGAATGGTGCAGTTGGACATAATCAGAGGTGGAAGGTACCTGTCAAGCGTCTTTCTCCGATAAAGAATTATCACCTATTTTCTGGTGGACGGCTTTTAGTTTCTCTGATCTTTTAGCTGTGGCATACCAGAAGAGTGATACTGACCCAGCTGACTTAGAGACCTGCCAGAGGAGGGTGGATTCCAAAGCAAATTCAAAGCCTGGCCACTCTATGCCCAGTTGAGGGCAGAGAGAGCAAGTGCAGAGAAAGAAGCGACGTGGGAAAGAGCTGGGTGGGCATAGATGGCAGAGGGAGGAGGCTCCCATCCTAAGTGGCCCCCATGCTGGTGGGGCACGGAGCCAAGGTATGCCTGTCTCTGAGTTGGACCAAGCGCCACCTCTTCCCCTCCTGGCTGTAGCATGGGTGGGTGGGGTGGTGTGTCTCTACCAGCCCCACCCACCCACAGGCTACCCTCTCAAATGGGGGCTCGTGGCATGAGGCAGAGGGCAGCTGGGCCAAAACCCTTAACTCTGATTTTACACTTAAAAAAAAAAATTGCAATTTCAATGACAAGAATTTCTCTGAATTGAATATACTTAGTCCACCAAAGGAGAGCTCAGAGAAGGTGCTTAAGGCAATTGGTAACAGCAGAAAAGCTCGAGGAGACCAACGCGCTAACATGTAATTCTGCAGGGCTCGTACCGATGGAACACAGTTTCAATGCACTTGAACTTGTACCAAGAATTCCCCTTCTGCAACTTCAGTGCCTTTCTCCCACGTAGTGCTGCAACTTCCAATCATACCTAAAATCCACATGTAAAGACGGAAACACAGAAACTCCCACTGAAAAGAGAAAAGACTCCAATTACCTGTTCCATTTCCGTCTAATCCTCGCAAATAAGGAAAACTGTCCACCTCCGAGGGGGAGCTGGCGGCCGTGAGAAACGCGGTCAGGTCACTGTAGCTGGTGTTCTCCGGCAACCTCAGAGCCCTTCTCTGGAAATGAACGCGAGGCTGTGGCCGGGCACCTGCAGAGATTAACCTCTGAGTTACCTCCCCCAGGAGCAGTTTCTGTTTTTAGAAAATGCAAAACCAGGAAGTGCCTCTCCAAGGTTTCAGCACGCCTCCCCCACCCTGCTCCCTCTCACAAGGCCTCCCTTCCCCCATTCATGCAGGACGCAGAGATGTGACAACATGCTATTATGGGGAGAGAAATAATAGCCCATTGTCACATTTGTTTTGACACAGGATGTTATTTAGGTTTTTAACAAAAAGCTTTTTCCAAGTTCTATGTGCAAGCAGTCTTGTCACTGCCCGGCATTTGCCTGTGGATCTGGGTAGCATTTTGGGAAAGTCCATGTAAATGAAACAAGTAGATGACAATTAATCTCTTTACACAAACAATGTAAGAGATACTCTTTGATACTGCTGCAAACCCATCTTTAATCTCCCTGGAAAAATCTGGTTTAACGTCATGAACCAAACTGAAGGAGGGCAAGGGAATTCACTGTGCAACCTTGAAAAGAATTGCACACAATACCCCAGCGGCAATTAATCTTCTCTTTCTGTGGGAGCTGCCATTCGTCATCATCCAGTCTATTCTGGAGGCGTGCTTCCTACTTGTGATGGATTATGTCACAGAATTTATGATGAGACTTTTGAAATGATGCAAAATGATGCTTCTTCACCAAACTCAACTCCTTTGTGTAGGAGGATGGGTTGGGCCGACAGACCCTAGACAGTTGTGTTGTGCCATCATCTGCAGCTTAACTTTGCTCCAAATTTTCTTTTTGAGACGGAGTTTTGCTCTTGTTGCCCAGGCTGCAGTGCAGTGGTGTGACTTCAACTCACTGCAACCTCTGCCTCCCGTTCAAGCGATTCCCTTGCCTCAGCCTCCCAAGTAGCTGGGATACAGGCGCCCACCACCACACCCAGCTAATTTTTATATTTTTAGTAGAGGTGGGGTTTCACCATGTTAGCCAGGCTGGTCTCGAACTCCTGACCTCATGTGATCCACCCACCTCAGCTTCCCAAAGTGCTGGGATTACAGGTGTGAGCCACCGTGCCCAGCCCACATGTTGTTTTGATCATAAAACCTGAACTTTTTTTAACCTAATGCTGCGGTAATATTTGCAAGACGTAAAGGTGCTAGGTAATTTTGTGCAAACCTGCCAAAGCATTGTTAACAGAAATGCTGTAGATCCAACCCCAGGCTTGAGGCAGACCACATTCCACCTGTGCTCCACTGGAGGTTCCTTTTCCTGGCCCCCTGCTATCCTGCTTCAACAGCCCTGCCCAGAGCCGGTGGGCTTTATCACCACTCCAGGGTTCCTTTTAACTCTGGATCAAAGAACTTGGAAGGAGTAAATAAGCCTATCTTAGACGTGTTCTAGAATAAGGGAGTTTTAGAGCTCCAAGAATCCACTAGTCCAAGCCTCTCTTAAAGGTGAGGCCACTGAGGCCCAAAGGAATTCCACAGATTTACGTCTGGGGCAGCCTCTCTTGGCTACATACTGCCTAACTGGCAGGGAGTCACAGTGCTCCCTCTTCCTTCTAAAAACTACCAGCTAGACTTCTCCAGGGGCTGGTTCTCCACTTTGTGAAATCCAGGCCCAGGTGCAGAGCCCAGCAAGCAGGTGCCCAAAATCATGGGCGTCCTATCTAACTCCTGTCATCTCTGCTGAAACTAAACAGACACAGACATTGGTCCAGCTCCAGACCATCAATTTCCTTTCTTTATCCCTAAAACAAACCCACAGCGACACACCAGCCTCTGGGGATCTGGGTATTTCAACATTATTCTATTCTTCTTAGTCTGGTCTTACTTTCCCTCAATGTTACAGAATACTCATGTCTTACTCCTGCCACCTCCTTGGTCTGCGGAGAGTTCAAACTCCTCAGGCACCCCACAAGTGCTGTGTGTCCTGCCAGGGGCAGTCTGTTTCTGGTCCATTCTCCCCCTTGCCCACACACGGCACACAGCTTGCTTTTCTTCTCCCTTTCCACGCTGCCCTCCGGGATGGAAGGTCAAAGCCGGCATTCTTTCTCAACTCCTCATTCCGGATGTTATAACAACATTCATTGCTTCAGTATTTTTTTCAGTGATCAGGAAATATACGTTCTCTACTGGTTTTCAGGCTAAACAATGCTGCTGATAGCATTCAGTGAACAAGCCCCTATGTAGAGGCCTGGGTCTCCCACGGTGGAAAAGTAAAGCACACTGCTAATAGGAAGAGAAGAAGAAGGGTGAGTCTACATGCAATGGAGCAAAGAGAGGGTCCTGGCAGAGGCAGAAGCTGGGCTGGTGCCCCCAGAACAGGGAAGGAGAAGTGCACCCCTCCAGGCCTTAGGAGGAGCCCCTGTGAGATGGGCTGGCAGAGACCTGTGTGACGGTAATGGGGCACAGAAACCTCCTCCGACTGGACTGAGGGTTGCTGAAAGACAAGGGGAGCCTGGGAATGGGCCCAGGATACATATCCTAGCCAGGACTTACGCGGACTGGCCCGGGACCCAGAGAACCAGAAACCCAGGCTGCTCTCCCCAGCTCTCAGGGCCCTGGTGTCTCATCCCGATCCTCTCCTTTTCGTGCCTTCTCGAGCAAATCAAGTGTTACATGCATTTGGGTGGGAAACATATCTCTCTCCCTTCCCTGCCTCTGCTCCGCCTCTCTCCCCACTTGTGCAGGAGAATTTGGTCCCTGGCCAGACATTCAGGGTCTATCTGCTGGGGCTGGGGGCTGGGGTAGGTAGCAGGCTATGCTGGGGCAGATCCTCACGGAAAGGATACGGCCGCTGCAGCCCGGGACTGGCACGACATGGGTGCCATCCACGAGGGGCCAAACATCCCACCACAAAGCACAGGCGACACCTATGGTGACGAAAATGACGGAAGTAGTACGTGAGGAATTTAAGAGTGCAAGCGATGCTAAGCCACGGCACAAATAAAATCGAAAGAGGGTATGCATGGGGTTGGGGGAGCGGTTACATGCTTAAGCCTGCCTTCATGTACTAAAGCTGCTAAATAGTTCTGTACTTCAGAAAGGAATATGATTGGGTGGGGGTGGCAGGGCAGGCAGTGGATAAGCCTGTAGGGCTCCATCCCCATCCCCAAAATACTCAACTCTGGTTTCCCAAAAATACAGGGGTCCCTGCTTCCTCCCGCTGCATTTCTTTCTTTTTTCTTTTCTTTTTTTTTGAGATGGAGTCTCACTCTGTTGCCCAGGCGGGAGTGCAGTGGCACAATCTCAACTCACTGCAACCTCTGCCTCCTGGGTTCAAACAATTCTCCTGCCTCAGCCTCCTGAGTAGCTGGGATTACAGGTGCTCACCCCTACACCTGGCTAATTTTTGTATTTTTAGTAGAGACAGGGTTTCATCATGTTGACCAGGCTGGTCTCGAACTCCTGACCTCAGGTGATCTGCCCGCCTCAGCCTTCCAACTCTCTGGATTTCAAAATCTGTTTTCCCTCTTCTCTTCTGCCCCTAACCACCTCCAAGGTCAATCCAAGCCTCTAATTTAACTTTTGCTTATTCATTGCAAGACTTGGCTCAACCAACTGTTTTTGCCTTTGTCAGCAATCTCTTTCTCTATAGGCTTTTCCTCCTCAACCAACTCTTTTTGCCTTTGTCAGCAATCTCTTTCTCTATAGACTTTTCCTCCTCAACCAACAAAAATACTCCAGTCTAGAACAACAACAAGCAAACATCACTTTAACTCTGTTATCCCCATAAGCGAATGCCTTCTGTCCTTCCATCAAGCTCCAGTGGTGTGGCTTCTACCCGCAATGCATGCTGCCCTTGGAGACATCGACTGTATGATCTGCAAACCCCATGACCACAGCTCAGCCTCCATCTTCGTCGACCTCTTCACAATGGCTGACACTGTTTGCCACTCCTGCCCACAATTCCCTTCTTCCTTGGGATTCATGGTGCTGCACTCTGGTTCTCTCCAGTGTCTGCCTGCTGTTTCCTTTCTCATCCTACCTCTGGATGAAACAGCTCCCAGAAGGCTACCACCCATCGCCTCTGCCATTTCTGTGCTTTGCTCACTCCCTGTGGGTTCCCTTTCACTGCTACTGCCTTGGCTGGTACCACCCTCTCTAGCCTTGAATTCTTTTCTAAGCTCCATGCCTGGATTTTCCTCTGCCTTCTAGACACTTCTACCCAGATGCCCATCTGACACTTTAAAATTATCGTCTACTTTCTCTCTCACCTAATAATATTCCAGTCTCCCCATTACCCAGTTTTGAGTCTAGGTCACCAACATCATTCTCCCTATCTATCATCCTGCACATTCACTCAAGTGCCAAGACTGGCCAGTCTTCCCTTACCAACATTTCCTCTCTCTTTTTGCATTCAACAGCATATGTTACCTTACCGCCTCTCACCTCAACTATTGCGAAAGCCTCCTATCCAGGCCATCTGCTTCAGCCTAACTCCCTTTTCATCTACTGACACTGTTCAAAGATACTAATCTAATCATGTCCTTTCCCTGCCCAGAAACCAACGGATCTCTCCCACTTACCAAATTAACAATGACAAAAACAACGACAAACATGAATAGACCAATATAGACCCAGACTACAACTACACCTCTTCTCTAAGTGAGAGGCATAGATCAGTGCTTTAGAATTTACAAAGTGCATAAATAAAAATATGTTATTTAATATTTACAACAACCCTGTGAAGAAGGAACCCTCTGCTCTCTTTATGGATAATGAACTACAGCTCAAAGAAGTAAATGACTTGCCCAAAGTCATTCTGCTTATAAGAGGTAGAAAGGAATTATTTTAATTCTAACTCTGTATCCCTTCCTAGCACACCATACCTACCTCAAAATAGATGCTCTACTGACTGCCAACCAGTTCTCATCCTCTGGCCAAACAGGACTGCATGACTAAGTCTGATTCTTTCTTTCCTTTTTTTTCGTTTGAGACAAGGTCTTGCTCTGTCACCCAGACTGGAGTACAATGATGCCATCACAGTTCACTGGAGACTTGACTTCCTGGGCTCAAGTGATCTTCCTACCT